AGTGACCACAGGGAAGACCAAGGCATAGGTGGGTGGACAATATTAGAATGGATCTTAGAGAGAAAGGATTGGATGCTATGGATTGGATAAATCTGGCTCAGGATAGGGACCAGTGGAGGGCTCTTGTGAACACGGTGATGAACCTTCGGGTTCCATAAAATGCTGGGAAATTCTTGAGTAGCTGCAGAATTGGCGGCTCCTCAAGAAGGGCTCAGCTCCATGAGTAAGTAAGTAAGTAAGTAAGTAAATGTACTATCATCACAAACGTTTAGATCTTAAACACGTAGGTGGGTCGACAATATTAGGATGCATCTTAGAGACAGAGGATAGTCTTAGTAGTATGCATCCTCTTGTGTGTCATAAACAAGGTACACAAAATGCATACTTTTGTATACATTTTGTGTGCCTTGGAGATAGGATAGGATGCGATGGTATGCACTGGATCGATCTGCCTGAGGCTAGGGACCAGTGGAGGGGCTCTTGTGAACACGGTAATGAACTTTCGGGTTCCATAAAATGCCGGTAAGTTCTTGAGTGGCTGCACAATTCAGTGAATTATATAGTCATGAAATTCTTTTCGCATAAACCTGGTTTGCGCTTTATTATGGCATAAGAGGCTATTACTTTATATTTGTGAAACGTACATACAAGCCCCCTCCTTCACTGATTCAATGAATTGTGTAAGTTGGGTGTAACCTTGGGGTTCCCCGCAGAACGTGTTCTTGGAAGGTCAAGTCTCTCGTATCGCTTTTTCCTAAATTAGGTTACAGACCGACGTTGAGGCAGTTGTCCTCGGCACAAATCTTCGCTTGACTACTGAAGCATTCTGTGTCCACTTCTGGAGGAAAATGAGTCAATGAACGTCAAATACTGGGAACTTAACTTATTGGCTGAAATATGCCTTATATGTTTCTGAACTATAGCGCCATCATCAGTGGCTTACGTGTTAAAGGGGAGACAGGATTTTGGTAGAGGTAAAGTTGTATGTCGCTTGAATCTGCAGGGTCGAAGAGTAAATCAATCTCAGCTTTGTGCCTGCTTCTGCTGAATTCTTACTCGGCTTACTCTTCGGCGCTGGAGACAGTGCGTTCCTTCAAAATGTCGATACATTTCTAGTAGGCTACACGGCGTCACATCCCAGAAGGTTGCGTTCTTTATTCACCACTGTGAGAACCTCAAAATACGACAAAATTCAGAGGAAATTAAATCTGGGAAAGTCTTACTGCCATTCAGCATATAATCTTTTATCTTCCCGTCTGCTATTCAAAAACCTAAAGATTAGAGCACACAAAACTATATGTTTGCCTACAGTTTTGTATGGGTGTGAAATCTAGTCTCTCACATTAAAGAGAGACCACACATTGAAGGCATTTCAGAAAAGGGTGCTATGAAAAAAAATGCATAGTGAGGAGCTTCATAATTTGCACTCTTCGCCAAATATTATTAGAATGAGAAAATCAGGGATGAGATTGACAGGTAAGGGAGGGAAGAGAAATGCGTACAAAGTTTTGGTAGGAAGCCAAGAAGGAAAGAGACCATTAGTTTGACCGAAGCATAGATAAGATAATATTAAAATGTATCTTGGCCGGAAACGTCTGGTTTAGGGTAAGAACCAGCGGCGGGTTTTTGTAAACACGGCAGTGAATCTTCGGGTTCCATAAACTGTTTGGAATTTTTTGACTACCTGAGCAACTATTAGCTTTCGTTGGAGGAATCTGCATCCATTTAGTTAGATGACGTCTATTATAAACAACTGCATTTATTCGTTGAACTGCAGTAGCATTGGAGCCTGGATAGCTCAGTCGGTACAGCGACTGGCTATGGGCTGGACGGCCGGGGTTCGATGCCCGGTTGGGACAAGAGATGTTTCTCAATTCGACAGCGTCCAGACCGGCGCTGAGGGTCACCCAGTCCCCTATTCAACGTGTATCATAGCTGTTTCCCATGGATATAAAGCGGCCAGGTCTTTATCTAGTGCTAAGGTCAAGAATGGTGGAGCTATACCTTCACTCCCCCACACATATTCAAGGCGTGGTTAATTAACATTTTCACCTTTACAGCAATAACATGTAAGTATGAAGAGTTATATTTTCTGTGATATAACGCTGTGTATTCCGTTGAAAGCCAACCGACGTTTCGGAGGAACGTGTTGCCACCATATTCTGGGTCGAAGATTAAGCCAAGCAAGAGACCAGCGTGAAAGCAGGTGGTAAACAGAGTTCTTGGCGTATTCTTCTACCATGAAAATGGAAAGTTACATGTTCCTCCGAAACGTCAGTTGACTGTCAGCGGATTACACGATGTTATATCCAGAATGAAAAGAACCTTCATAACCACCGTTAAGGAAACTCAAATCCTAGCACATAAGTATATCTCATGGAGGAAGGTTTCCGTTAGAACATGGAAAAAGGTCCCACCCCGAAAAACAATCGCTTGTTTGTTGAGTTTATGGCCTGTCAAGCCTGTTGAAAGATGCTGGTGGCATTTCTGGACAAAAGGCCATTTCATCTTACACTGCCCATTTACTGATCTTCCAGAAGTTGCTAAGGGTTGTACATTTATGGTCCAAGCCAATCTATTTGCTGTTTCTCGTCCAAAACAGCAAAAGACACAAAGCACAGATCAGGGGTGTAATTCGCTCAGCGTACACTTCCTTCTTCTGGTTTGTTGCTTGGCTTAGTTTTCGACCTGAAGATGGTGGCGATATAGTCTTCCGAAAAAAAATAGTGGATTACATGGCGTCACATCTCAGAAAGAAACCGCGGGAACCACAGATCTTAATATTTCCTGTCATTAGTAAAAGTTACTATCGTGTTTCGCTCTATTACATTGACGATGGAGGCAGTATGTTCATCCGAAATGTTGGTAACGTTTACCAGACTATGTGAAGTCACGTGTCAGAAGACATTTCCTTGATAATTTCAAATCTATTTTCGGTCATTCGGTAAGGTCACTATCAGGTTCCGCTCTTTATATTTTATCCTGAAGACGGATGTAGCAGTTTCCTCCGAAACTCAGGTGCCCATCTGATCAAATGTACGGCGGCACATTATTATAATACCGTAATCTTAGTACTCGCCGCTGTGTGAACTTCAAACAAACAAAAAATACGTGGCCTTTAGTCCGCAAGCGAACTATATCGACCGAGCGACCGCCGCTTGTCGGCGAAGTTAGTGCCAACTTCAGATCTCAGAATTTTAAATTTGACTAACTGAATACGATACTCTTGCAATTGGGAAAACGCTGCTAGTGGTGAGAATACCAAGACCCCGGCTACAGTGATTTTTTTACATACTTTTCGTCACTTCCTCAAATCCTAAGATGGTATTTGAAATATGCCACGACCGCTTCCTACCTATTCATTCATGTCATCCCGCCCTTGGGGACTACATTTTTAAGTAGCATTAAGATTAATTTTAAGCTCCAAAAAGTTGAACAGCACTACGTTTGTCTTTGTAGTCGAGAAGCAGTGTGAAGAGCTGTATCTTCTTTAATAGAACGTCATGTAGTCCGGTGTTCCTCCGAAACGTCGGATGACATTCACCAGATTACACGCCGTTATATTCTAGGTCATAGAACTCCTCATACTCCCACATAGAAGCAGTATGTTTTCTGTGTACTGCTTCAACATCCTAAGGTCCTCATTCCTCCCACAGAATGTATTTATGTATTTCGTATAGTTCTCACATGAGTCCCGCGAGACTCGGAACCAAGAATCACTGTGCTGGCGAGAGCCAGCTGCAATTTACCAGCCAGCTAGTCTTTAAATGGTTTATAGGCCATTTTTAGCCTACTTTCCTTTTTTTACTTTATTCATGGAGCTGAGCCCTTCTGGAGGAACCGCCAAATCTGCAGCCACTGAAGAATTTCCCAGCATTTTATGGAACCCGAAGGTTCATTATCGTGTTCACAAGAGCCCTCCACTGGCCCATATCCTGAGCCATATCAATCCAATCAATACCACCCCATCCTATCTCTCTAAGATACATTTTAATATTGTCCACCCGCCTACGCCTTGGTCTTCCCAGTGGTCTCTTTCCTTCTGGCTTTCCCACCAATATCGTCTATACATTCCTCGTCTCCCCCATTCGTGCTACATGCCCTGCCCACCTCATCCCCCTTGACTTGATCATTCTAATTATACTTGGAGAAGAGTACAAGTTATGAAGCTTCTCATTATGCAGTTTTCTCCAACCTCCCGTCACTTCATCTTTCTTTGGCCCAAATACTCTCCTCAGCACCCTTTAGCCTACTTTCCTTACTTGGAAAGACATAAAAGTAGGCTTATGAGATCACTATGCTGTCTATGTGTCCCCCCTACCAGACTTTGAAAGCTTGAACCATTCTTTATGAAATTTGGTATGTATATCATGACACCTGAGCCCATCTCAACGGCATGCTTCATAAATCCCTCCCATCATCCCCGCTATCGTTGGTAGGCAACGGATCGATAAAAACGTTACCGCGGCAAGGAATATACACGCTCAACAATAAATTGATTTCTGTGCGGAACTTGTCGTATAAAAGGAAAGTATGCGATTAGTTCTTCCCAGAACTTGTTTTCATAATCGCCCTGTTAGCTCGAAACCGTCATTTTAAGGTTCAGATATCTTCTCCCTCCTGTTAGCTCACTTGGGGCAGTGGTTCACGGCCGTTTTCACCCTCTGTCCGTCCCATAGCTCAGGCGGTTAGTCGCCGGCATCCCACTAGGCAGCCCGGTGTCGATCCCACGTTCATTCATCTCGGATTTGTTATGGCATAGTGTCATTTTTGTCACTTTCTCCTTGTATTTCGATATCCCTTGCCAATTGTCATTCCACCAATCGCTCGTCCTGTCATCTACGCTGTATACTACAGATACTGACAACGTCGTTAAATAACCAATATATAAAAAGTATATATCGGCACCGCGTTTCTCCATGCACCGTTTACTATTCTACCCAGAAGATGGAGGTAACAGGTTATTCCCGGCTTCCAATATTATTATTTTATGTACTTACGCCATAGTTTTGGAGTTCTTCCCAGACACGATCCTTCTTCACTGTTATAAAAGAAGTCTCTGAGGGCCTCAAGCCTTGTCTTGTGCGGAGGCGGTGCGTACTCATAGAGTACGTCGATGGGGTCCACGAACTTGTTGCCCTTGCTCATGTCTACAGCACACTGCGAGGGATCTGCAACAGAAGTGCTATTAGAGTCCGGTCTCCCTTGTCATTCATCCTCCTATCGCCTTGCAGCCTCCGCTGCCAGTGTCACGTGACTGTTATCGAGGTGAATCCACGGTTACCGCCTCCATTACATGCCGTGCATTCTGCAGATCTCGTTTCGATCGCATTCGGATGCTGTGGTCAGGTGTCAAATAGTAACAGAGCATAGCAATAGGTGTGGGATTTGAGGTTGTGACAACGGTGGTAAGGAGGAACACTGTCTTCTGCTGAAAGTCAACCGATGTTTGGGAGGAACACGTCGACTCCATCTTCAGGGTCGAAAAATAAGCCGGGCAAGAAACCAGCGTGAAAGCGTAGCTCTGCTTGCCACCTGCTTTCATGCTGGTGTCTTTCCCGGCTTCTTCTTCGACCCTGAAGATGGGAGATAAACTCCGCTTTACAACCACAGAAAATTTTGGCCGGACCTCAAATAGTAACAAAGGTACAGGCCTTGAAATTGTAAATAGAGACCAGATTTCAAGTAGTGACCAGGTACTAACACAGATTATAAATAGTGGCCAGGTCTTATGTAGTAGCCAGGTACTAACACAGATTATAAATAGTGGCCAGGTCTTATGTAGTAGCCAGGTACTAACACAGATTATAAATAGTGGCCAGGTCATATGCAGTAGCCAGGTACTAACAGATTATAAACAGTGGCCAGGTCATATGCAGTAGCCAGGTAGTAACACAAAAATTGTACATAGAGACCACTTCTCAAAAGCTGGGTACGAAGCAACGTAGATGTCGTACTTTGGTAAACTCAATTAAAGGGAAAGGCCAATCGATTCGTAGTTGCTGTTCTAATTGCGTGCTCCTGCCCAGTTGCTTAACGTCATACATGCAGCGCCCTAAAATGTGTTCATTTTCATATTTATCCAATGTTATAGCCGTGGGCACAGCTAATAAAGCGGGAATATCTTCAGTGAGGACAACAGATGTTGGTATAAATCTTACTTATTTAATGTAAGCGTAGATTGCGCTACATGTTTCCACCTGTAATTTAGGTTATCATCAGGCATCTTTCCGTGATCTTTAACTGAAGTGATTAAAGTTAATAGTATAATATGGATCCATATTATGCAACTGATGTCTGTTGTTGCAAATGAATATGCATAGATCTATATTGTTATATGTACACCCATTGCTAGGCAACGGGTTGATAAACAAGCTCCCGCGAAGACAGATTCCTGGTAAACAGTCTGTTGCTAGGTCACCCAGCTATAGGACGAATATTTATAGCTCGTTGCTAGACAACAATCAGCGCGCCAACGGACTGGTGAGATAGCTCACGTGACTTGTTTTCAGTGTGGTCTGCGCCATGCCCATTGCTAAGCAACAGAACTGTAAATACGTCTACAATAATAGCTATCCCTGTAAGAGGCCTAGGAGGCCCATAGGGTTGTGAGTCGTCGAGGCTCCTACTTTCCTAGACAGCCGGCTCACAGATGGCGGTGAGGTCAACCTTACGCGCCGGCCGCATCTTTACCCCCAGGAAGATTCCTTGTACTCATTTATGCTAGAGGTTGAGTTGGCCCCAGGGCCATACTGCGGTTGGAAGGATTAGGTCAATTGAAAAAATCCAATTACCTCACCGGGAATCGAACCCGCGACCTCCGTGGTTGTAGTATAATGCCTCAACTACGTCGACGTTTCAGAGGAACATGTCACCTCCGTCTTCAGGGTCGAATAATAAGCTAAGTAAGAAACCAGCATGAACCATTGCATGCAGAACTTCTTAAACCCTGAAGATGAGGGCGATATGTTCTTCCGAAACGCCGGTTGAATTTTAATGGATTACACTGAGTTATGTCCCAGAAGATGTAACTCTTCATAGCCACCGTTGTGATAACCTCAAATACTACATTGAAAGGGGAAGGTTGGAGTGCTGGTTGGTGCATGTGATTAAAGTGGTTTTGACAAGATTGCCTAAGAAGATTTTTAAAGTAATCCAGAAGGCAGAAAAAAAAGTAGGACGGCTCGTATTGAGATGTGTGATATAGAGAATGATTTACGATTAGCGAAAGCGGGGAGAAGCAAGCAAACGACAAATAATATGGAAGAACGGGCGTCTGTCGTGAAGTGGCGAAGGTTTTTAGAGGAAGTAAGTAAATAAGTTAGTGGCTCAGATTATGCAGCGTTAAATGGCGAGATGATTAGTGAATAATGAACTGGAAGGGATATAAAAGGAATGGTCATGACCAGGGCCCGGATTTTGATGACCTGAAAATATTTAAAAAATGACCGAAAAATCCAGAAAAATTACCTAAAATATGACCCAAAAATGTAATATGCAGGGCCCGGATTTTGATGACCTGAAAACATTAAAAAATATGACCGAAAAAATCCAGAAAAATGACCTAAAGGAGAAAAGAAAGAACACTTCGCTTCTATGTTATTCACATTTCAGAAAATGGCCAAAAATGACAAGAAATACCCTTAAAAGCCCAAAAAATTACCCCCCAAATGAAAAAATGACCTTAAACCTAAAAATGTCAAAAAATGACAAAAAATTACCTATAAAATTTACATTTCTGTAACCAGCAGCTCATATCCGAGATTTATATATTTAAGAGCACCGCATAGGATACAAGGAAAAAAAGATGACATGTCATCAAAATCCGGGCCCTGGTCATGACTTAATTTAAGATACTATCCTGACGGTTACGTGATGGGGTTGAGGGATCCCATGAAAAATACTCAGACGGGCCTTTCTCCAGGCCGAGATTTGAAACCCGGGCCTCCAGAACACAGCCGAGATAGCTCAGTCGGTATAGTGACGGGCTACGGCCTGGACTGCCCGGGTTCAATTCCCAGCAGTGGCAAGAGATTTTCTCTTTTCTATAGCGTCCGCTCCAGCACTGGGGTCCATCCAGCCTCCTATCCAATAGCTATTGAGGGCTCTTCCCTTGAGGGTAAAGCGACCGGGGAGTGAAGCTGACCACTCACATCCATTTTGTTCTGAGGTCAAGAATGATGCAGATATACCTCCACTCCCACATACCTGTTCATAACGTGGTGTTTTAAGTAACTGAGCACAGCAACAACTTTACCTTTCACCTCTCGCATACAAAGCATGTGTACATTAAACCGCGACTCTGAACGTAAGCTCTTGTACTGTTTTAAACATCTGGTGACTTCTCGTTACATCTGTCTCTCAAGGCCCGTTTGCGGGCTCGAATAACCGGTTTCATAGAAGGAAAACAGAAGACAGGAGCTACAAGGTTGTCGTTACGCCATCTCATAATGCAACTCCTCACTCTAGCAAATTCCTCTACTTCTGATTTCTGAGAACAGCGATTCTCAAACCGATTTCATGTGGCTTCCCACCGGCCACTTCGTCAGCAGGCCGCGTTGCCATCACAGTAAAAATAAGAGCGTATTTTTCTCTCTCTGTCTCTTATGGAAGTGTACTTTTACAATATACCGTCTACTACGAAAACGAGGCTTGCGTCATAGTTGATGTAGCTGTTACTTCATCATTAGAATGTGACCAAATTCTGTTTTCAACGTACCCTCGGTATTCATGCGCCAGTGGGAAATTCATATATATACATCTTTTCTTCCCGAGAGGTTGCCTACACCATACATGACGTAATGGGTTTCGTACAGTGGATGGACTTTGTTTGAAATGTTTATATACATTCCTTGTTCGAAGTTCATAAAATGAAACCAAGAGGGACTTTTCTTCAGTAAGGTTGCCTACATGATTTAAACGTACGCTCGTTCATACAATGGACGGACTTTATTTCATTATTATATTAATCATTAAGAACTTAAAATTTGTTAGTTTTTATATGTTCTGTTACTGTAATCAAGTCAAAGGGAATGAGATGGGCAGAGCATGTAGTACAGTGGGGGAGAAGAGGAATGCATATAGGATATTGGTGGAAAAGCCAGAAGGAAAGAGACCACTAGGAAACCAAGACGTACATAGGTGGATAATATTAAACTGGATCTTAGACGAGATGAGGTTTAATGGACTGGATTCATCTGGCTGAGGAGAGGTACCAATGGAGGGATCTTGTGAACACGGTAATGAACCTTCGAGTTCCATAAATTGTTGGCAATTGTCTGGAGTGTCTTAGTAAGAAACTCCGTGGCCTGTAGTCCGCAAGAGAACTATACCGACCGAGCGACCGCCGCATGTCGGCCAAGTTAGTGCCAACTTTTGCGGATAGAGGGTGTCGCGTGGTCAGCGCAACGGATCCCCACGGCCGGTAATCTCGATTTTCTAGACCGGAGCCGCTATTTCCTTGAAATAGCTCCTCAATTATCCCCAAGAGGCTGAGTGAACCCCGTTCCAAACCCACTACTTCCCAGTAAATCTGGTAGCGCCGGGAATTGAACCCGGGGGAGTGTCTTAGTAGAATAACGAAAGAAAACCCTCTATCAGAATATCCGATTCCCCGAGCGAGATTCGAACGGAGCAGCTTGTACGGTCCGGAGCGTTACAGTCAGATGCAGAAGGAGGAAATACGTGTATGTTGCTGTTAAGTAAAGTGCTTTACTTCGAGTGGTATCCAGTGTTTGCCTAGCATGTGGTGTTTACTGTCGCAAGTACGTAAGTAAATTTGCCTTTCAAATCTGACCAGAAACGCGCTTAGACTTTACTTTTATATGTATTTTAACGTTAAGGGGGGAATTCATTGAAGTAATACTGTATTATACAGGGAGATTTAAAATTAATTTATATTGGGAATTATTCGTTAACGTTTTGATCGTGCAAGCTGTGATTCATACAGTTTGTAACTGTGAACATAGAAAGAAGTGGCCAACCGTTGTTTTAAAGTCTGTTTCCATTTCACATTTTTAATTTTATAGCGGACAACTACATATAAAGTAAAAGAAAGGTTAAAGTAAAGCTATCCCTGTAACAGGCCGTGAAGGCCCATGGGGTTGCGAGACGTTGAGGGTCCCACATTACCTTGACAATCGGCTCAAAGATGGCGGTAAGGTTGTCAGCC